CACTATGCTAGGCGGGTCTCCGCGTCATTGAAAAGCTTGCTGTGCCCTTATGCATTGAAGCCGCGGTGGCGCCCGACGTGCCCACCATTCCCTCGGTACCGCGCCCCGTCATGAGGTGCGGTGCACGAATGATTGCTTGCTTTGTTAGCGCGTCGGGCGGTCCCAGAGACCCCTTTCGGTACGTCTTGACGCACAAAACCATCACTCGACCTCGGCACGTAGCATGATGAGGAGCTGCATGTTGCCGTAGAGACTGGCAACGCGGATGACGTCCGCGCCTTGCTCGCGAGTGGGGTTCACCCCGACAGCACCAGCATCGTACTACATCTCTGCGTTGGCATCGGCACAACGACGTGTGTTGTAGACGGGCGAAACACCACTGAAGAAAGCCGTGGGTTTGAGGGATAGCCACCTCGTCGATATGCTACTAACCTACCATGCGAACGTCAACCATGCAAATGCGGTATTGGCGACGACACCTCAATATCAACTGACCGTACTGTAGATGGGTATGACAGCGTTGCATGACGCGGCGACGCGGAGCGCGAGCGACATCCTGCTCATGCTCCTCCGTGGGCCAAACGTCTCTGTGGACGCTCGAACGATCGTACGCACGAGCCCACACAACATGGCTCACTATGGACATGACATTAGAAACAACAAACGCCATTGCACGTTGCGGTCGCCGCCGGGCAACTGGCGAATGTCGTTGCGCTTGCAGACGCCGGTGCCGACTGCGAAGCCACCGATGCGGTCCGTCAACGCCTTCCACACGTCGAATTCACTCCAGCATGACTAGAACTCGTATCGGCCGTTGCACTACGCCGCGCTAAAGGGTCATCCAGGCATTGCAGCGTTCCTTCTCCAGCGCGAGGCCTCGACGTCGGCGCGCAACAAAGTACCGTCTCCGCTTATCTTTCGGTGCACATGCGATGGAGCGCTTTAGCATGGCGATACGGTGCTGCATGTGGCCATTTTGAACGAACACAGCGACGTGGCCACGCTCCTCGTTGAGGCGGGTGCTGATGTTCACGCCGTCTCGGTCTCTCGTCTCGACGCGGGGCGCACGTTCATTAACGTTGTTTTGAGTAGAACGAGCAGAGCCCGCTGCACGTCGCATGTGAACGCGGTGTCGCGGCCGTGGTGCCGGCGCTTCTTGCCCGTGGCGCAAACGTCAACGCCCACTACGTACATATGCACCGGACCTCGCGATCGCACTCATGCCTGGTGTAGCGCGGCTCGTCGCCTCTCTTCCTCGCAATGATCCACAACCACGCGGACGTCGTCAACATGCTCCTGGCGTCGCCCGATTTGGATCTCAACGAACGAAGCCAAGTACGATATTGTGCCGATAGTTATCACCTTTGTAAACTTCTCTACAGGATGGCCTCACTGCTTTGCACGTTGCTACGATCGGTGACAAACTCGCCATTGCCAAGACCCTGCTTCACGCTGGCGCGGATGTCGACGCAAAAGCCACCGCGGTGCGACGAGCACCAGTTATGGTTGCTCGCTGTTGTGCTAACTTATCTGGGTAGTGGGGACTCTGCGCCATGGACTTTGCCATCAAGAAGAAGAGCCGCGCCATGGTTGACGTGCTCCAGCCCGCCTACCACCACGTACGTTCTGCATGTCTTTTCGGTCTTGGACCCTCTATGTATCGCAGAAACGGGCGTTGCTACAAGCAATGCACCAGCAAAATGAGCCTCATTTCGCAGCGCTACTAGAAGCGCCGTACAGCTGCAACGTCAACGACGAGGTGTGCCATCCAATCATACCCAACACAACGGAATTGCCGTCGTAGATCGGGTGTTCGCTTGTGCATTTGGCCGTCCTCGCGAATAACGAAGTCATGCTCGACCTGCTTCTAAGCACGCCTCGCGTCCTCTTTGATACGACCAACCACGTAGAGGATGCGATCGCCAGACAACGACAGAGTTGATTTTGTAGGAACACAAGACGCCATTGGCCATTGCCATTGAGCGCGGATGTGCGTCGATGGCACAAAAGCTCTTTGATCGAGTGCATGCAGCCGCGGTCGAGGTCAGAAGCCGTTGTTTGTAGTTGATTTTAACACCGACGATAGATTGCCAGTTCTGAGTGCGACGTGACCAGCCACGAACTTGGTCGGGGCGGGTTTGGGGTCGTCTTCCTCGGCTCGTACCGCGGTGCCAAGGTCGCGGTCAAGACCGTCACAAACATCAACCACCTCCAGTCGCTCCATGCTGAAGTCGATGGGCTCCTTGCGTAGGCCGCTACGTTCTTATTCGTCACAGGCTAAAATGATGTGATCTAGATGCCCGTCTCCGTACCTTGTGCGGCTGGTGGCTATCGCGGACCGCCACTCGGAGACACCGGCGCTGCTGCTCGAGTACATGGAGGGCGGCAGTCTTCGGTCGCACCTCGAGAAGAAGCAGTTGGGCCGGCGCACGTCGGAGCACGTGACCGCGCTGCATGCGGCCTGGGTAGTGGCCAACGCCTTGAACGACCTCCACGCCAAGAAGATAGTACACCGCGACATCAAGAGTGACAATGTTCTCTTGAGCTCGAGCGACGAGGTCAAGCTCGGGGACCTTGGGCTGGCGCGGTGCGAGGCCACCGTCATGACGGACGCGCCGGGCACGCGGTTCTGGATGGCGCCCGAGGTCCTGTGTGCCAACGGCACCAAGTATGGCCTTCCGGCTGACATTTATGCCTTTGGCGTGCTTCTCACCGAGCTAAACACGTGCCAGCTGCCTTACTTCGACCAAGATGTCCAGGACCCCATTGCATTTGTGAACAGCGTCGTGAACGGCTCGCTGCGCCCGTCGCTGACACCCGACTGCGAGCCATGGCTGCGCGAGTTGGCAGACATGTGCCTGCGTGGTGACCCGGCGGATCGCCCGACCGCCCACGACATCGTTCAGCGGCTGCGCAACGAAATGGCGACGCTTCCTCCGCCCGACACCAGCGTATCACCTTCCCTTACCAATGGACTCGAAGGTTAAAAGCGACGAGGTAGGTGGAATATGCCTACTTGCGCGCCGCGGCCAAAGACGATGTCGACGCAGTGTCGGAGCTACTGACCAGCGGCGTCCCGCTGGACTGGACACTACCGGTCTGAATCCGTCTGATGACCAACCAATGTCAACGCTTGGAAATGTAGGGCGGTGCGTCACTGCTTTTGGCCGCCACGACGGCGCGTGCCACCGGGACCGTGAAGCTCCTCCTGGATCACGGGGCCAACGTCAACGACGTGAGTGTACGGACATGCATATTCGACGTACAGTCTCGTTCATGGCGCGGGTTGTAGGGGGGACGGACACCGCTGCATGAAGCGGTGGCGATCTTCTCGGAACATCTGCAGCACATCTTGATCGATGCGGGCGCCGACGTCGAAGCACGTGATAAGGTACGTGCACCTCTTTGAGTCGACAAACCGACTGACTGGAAATACGGTACAGGAAGGCAACACGCCACTTGCGGTCGCGTCGTCCAAGATGCCTGTCGAGGCGTGCATCAAGCGACTCGTAGCGACAGGCGCCACCGTTGGGACGCTGCCCGAGGTTGACCAGTCCCGTTGGGTGCGAGTCCCATTTCTGCGCCTAGGACGACACGAGGGACATTCAGTTGATGCCCGACACTGCGGTCCATGGCGACCCGCTCCGCGTGCTCACATTGTCGGCCTCGCGGGTAGACTTGTCTGCGGCTGGAGTGAACCTTTGATGTTTTGTAGCAAGAGAACGCGGCGTGCCCAGAGATCTTTTGTGGCCTGTGCGCGCACTGGCATCCCGTCGACGAGGTGTGCGGAGCGTGCGGCCATGACGCATCGGCGATAGACCGTGCCGTATCGGTGGTTCGACGCTTGATGCGGCTCCATTACCGCGGCAACGCCGTCGACTGGAACAAAAAGTGCAGCACCTGCCGCCAAATGAGCTTGACGATCTTTGACGAGCGCTGCCCCGAGTGCGGACACCAGCAGGAAGCCGAGACCGAGATCAAGTTGCTCAAGATCGTCCACGCGCGTTTGAAGAAGGCGCTGAAAGCAACTCGAGTACGTGTCACAGGCACACACCATCCTTTATACCGCCATCATATCGTAGGTCGCTTACGATGAACCGGCGATCCCGCGTAGCGTCCGACGCTGGCTAGCACGTATGAGTGACCCGCCAGCCGACAGACGGCCGCCCACGGCGCCATCGATGGCCAAGGCAAAGCAAAAACGTTCCGGAGAAGCGGACACGAGTCAGGCGTCGGCGGGCGTCAACCTTTGCGGCATCGAGCTTCTGCCACCCCCTACGTCCGTGCGGCAATTCGAGGTTGCTTGCGCACCATCTTGCGTCGGCAGAGACGTACGACTTGGTTCTAGGACACGGTAGCACCAAGGGCGGCAGCGAGCTCAAAGGGACAGAGCGCGTTGGCCCGTCGTTTGTTCACCAGTACGCGCGCGCCTGTCCTTACGGTAGCGCGACGGATCGGTGTCGGGCACATGGCGACGCTTGCTGTAGATCTCGGCCGACCATTTACCCGAGCCCGGTGCTACCGGTACAGTGGATGGCCGAGTCGTCGTCCATCGCCACGTTGGTGACGATGACCCGCTCGACGCCATTCGAAGGTACCGCTACGATCTATGGTCAAAAGAGTTTCATGCTGGCGCTTGGGAACAGGTGCACGTCGCCTTTCATCGAGCCCATCGTGGCGGCGGCCCTGCCCACGAGCGTCTTTGTCGAGGTGACCAAGGCTTTGCGTCTCCAGCAGGTGCTGCAAGCGCCACATGCACGCGAGGACATGCAGCACGCGGGCGCATTGAAGCTCCATATGATCTACGCGGTCGCCAACGCGCTGGTGGATCTGCACGATGTTGGCCTCGTCCACGGGCATCTCTCGAGCCACAACGTGATCTTTAGTCCGCGCAACTTTATTCAAATATGTGTCCCGGGGACCTCGGCGACCGACGATGCGCTGCTGGCGTGGACCGCCCCCGAAGTGCTCGCAGGCGACGCGCCGCCGTCATCCGCGTCCGACATTTACGCGTTTGGCATTCTCTTGACCGAGTTTGATACGTTCGCAGAGCCGTTTGCTGACTATGATTTCGACGACGAAGTTGCGCTCGCCGTGGCAGTCGTGGACGGCGACTTGCGGCCAACGCTGCGCGACGACTGTCAAGTGTGGTACCGAAACCTCGTCGGCCTGTGCTTGGACACTGACCCGCTCAATCGCCCGACGGCCGCAGACCTCGTCGAGCTGTTCCAGCATTTCATCGACGATACCATGGTCCTCACTTAGGCCAGCTCGTCCCGACGCGTCGCACAACGTCATTCTGCACCTTGACATGTCGATAACTAGCGAACTGTATGACGTTGCGACGGCGAAAGCTCAGGTGATGGCGCCCAGGTGCATGACGACGTCTTGCGTCGATGCTCGAAAGACGCGATGACCCACCCGTCCGTCATTGAGCTGACACTGCGGCGTGGGCATCTCTTTCGTCGCATCAAAGAGCGTTGATGCATGTGTTTCTCCGCACTTACCGCCGCACTGTTGTGCAAGCTCGACACAACACACGAAGCTTGCTGCAAGTGAGATCCCTGTGCTTGCTCTTGCCGATTCGCAATCTCGTGTCGAAAAGAACCGGGATTTGCATCTTCGAGTTGCGCACAACTACATGACCCTGCTAGCGCCTCACTAGCAACGATATGCAGTGGGTGGAGCTCTTTGAGCGGTGGCAACCCCGCTGGTGATAGTTGGGTGCTAAATACACTGTAGACAGCAAATAATTGAAGTTCAAGCTCCGGTCAAGGAATTTGACAAAAGCTGGTGCAAGCTGGAAGGCGCCAACGAACCAATCTGGGTGTGCTATGCCTCGTGACCTTTGAACCGCATACGTCCAATGCTATTTGTAGTGTTGTTGGTCTCGACAGAGTGCGGCCGATGTACTATGCAGCCCATCGGGAACCAAGCACTGCCGTGGAGTTCGGACCCTTTTTGTCTTTCCAATACATTCAACACCTTGTTTTGTCATACTTCCCGTGTCGTCGTTGGTCCGATCGCAACTTTTCATTGCGATTTTTTGCACACGTCACGCAAGCAGCCGCAAGGTGCGCGCCGATGAACCGCCATCTCACTCGTCTTGACCAAGTAGAAGAAGATGAATCTCGTCGACGCAGTGACTCGTGGCGACACGTCGACGGTTGACGCGCTCCTTCTAGACGGCGTCGATCCCGACAGCTGCAACTTTGTACCCGCGTCCACGCACCAACACGCCATCATGCTGCGAAATGCAATTTAGGAGGGCACCCCAGCGCTTAATATTGCGGCGGCGGAAGGACACTTGGACATCGCTGCACTGCTCCTCAAGGCGGGTGCCTCGGTCAACTTAGGTCAACGGGTACACATCTCGAGTCCACTTCCTTGTCTTCATGTTGGACGGCATTAGAGTGGGCGGACACCGCTCATGGTGGCTGCGTATTTCGGCTTTGTTGAGCTTGCGCGCCTTCTTCTCGACCACGATGCTGATGTCAACCAGACCACCGCGGTAAATCATACGGTCCATGCGCAACGATCGCTTCATTGGGTTCGTAGACCGGCACGGCGCTCGGCTACGCCATTAGCGGTGGCCATGAAGACGTTGTCGAGGTGCTCGTCGCCGCTGGTGCAAATGTGCACGTAGATAATCAAGTGGTACGTTGCGCGCCGCCCCGGCGACGCCATCAGGATGAATAATGTAGAGCAAAGTGTCGCCCATCTTGCTCGCGGCAAACCAAGGTCACGTGGCCATTGCTTCGCGACTGCTCGCCGCTGGCGCCGCGGTTTCGGATGTCGATATGGTACATCCACTACGACAGTGTTGCGAGGGCTCTGAGTACATGACAGAACGGAAATGGCGTCATCTACCATGCCGCCATGCAAGGTCATACGGACATGATATATTGTCTCGTGCGCAATAAGGCGGATCCGAATGCTACGTCGCCGGTACATGGCCCTCTCGTAATAACTTGGCGCGTTCATGCTCTTCTCAGTCAGGCACTTCGCCGCTGTATGTCGCCAGCGCGAAGGGACATATTGACGCGATCAAAGCCTTGCTCGACGCCGGCGCCAACATCCGCAACCCTGCAGCGGTCCGAGTCGATACTTGACCGCGATAAAGCTGATCGGTGGTGTAGGACTCGTGCATGGTCGCTGCGGCCATGCATGGCCACTCGGAGATTGTAGCGTTCCTGCTCCAAGCAGGAGCTGACGTGAATTGGACGACTTCGGTACCCAACACCCTTTGTTGTCTGACGTGGACGAAGCGTGGATAGTTGGGCATCACAGCGCTGCACTCAGCCGCGTACTGTGGCCACGCGCACATCGTGCGGCAGCTAGCGTATGCGGCAGCCAAGCTCGATGCGCGGACCTTTGTACGTTTGACGGCCAATGATCACACTCATCGCGCGTGCAGGACGGGAATACGCCCGTGACATTTTCTCAAAACAAGGGGCATGCAGAGGTCCTTGCGGTCCTGCATGAAGTGCGCGTCAAAGTAGTCTCCCTCCCACCAGCGGGCACGACTTCACACTCGTGTTGACGACGTAGAAAATGGAGATGTTGCATGCCGCCCGCCACGGTGACGTCAACACTGTCCAAGCTCTGCTTGCGGAAGGTCTCAGCGTCAACGAGACGGACGAGGTACATCAACAATGTCTCCCCTGCTAAAGTGCCGGCTAGCATGCGAATACGTTGCTGCATCTGGCTCTCCTCGGTCGGCACGACGACCTAGTGTCGGAGCTCCTGAAGGTCCCATTGGTGGAGCTCGACACCTGCAACGAGGTCTCGACACCCATTGAAACATTGAAACGAAGCACGTTTTTTGTAGTTTGGCGAGTCCCCGGTAGCAATTGCAACCAAGTTGGGAAGTCGGTCGCTCGTTCGCGAGTTGCATGCCGCACACGCTCCCACCGCTACGCAGGTATAACAACATGCGTCGGCCGTTGCCCATCAGTAGTAGGTGGCGGCACGCCCGACGGCAAACCTGCAAGTGCTCGGCCGCGGCAGCTACGGCATCGTCTTCAAGGATCAACTTTCTGGTCAAGACGTAGCGCTCAAGACAGTCGTGAACTCGAGCAGTGAGGCCGCCAAGAACCTCCAATATGAGATCCACGTCCTCGAACAGTAAGGCTTTTGTGACTTGAACTCACGTCACTGACTATGTCTATAGCACCCCGTCGCCGTACCTTGTGCGGCTGCTTGCGACGGCGGATGCCGCATCGAACGCGCCGCAGCTCTTTTTCGAGTACATGGACAGCGGCAACCTTACCTCGTACCTCGAGAAGGTGGCCAAGGACGAAGAGAGCCTTGTCACCTACACGCCCATCGAGATTCTCTGGGTCGTTGCTAACGCGCTCTACGACCTCCACGCCAAGAGCGTCGTCCATCGTGACATCAAGCCCGACAACATCCTCCTCTCCTCCAAATACTACATCAAGGTGGGTGACGTCGGCATCGCCAAGGAGGCGACGACGAACATGACGACGGGGGCTGGCACCAACAAGTGGCGCGCGCCCGAAGTGCTAACGTCCGGAAGTCGCTACGGCACACCCGCCGACATTTACTCGTTTGGGATTCTCCTCCAGACGCTGTACCCTAACCCTACCGATGCAAGCACTCAGTGGGTCACGACCCTTGCAGCAGACTGCACGGCAGTGGATCCAACGCGGCGTCCGACGGCGGCCAAGCTCATCAGCATATTGCTGCCCAAGCTGCAGTCGTACGGTCTATCGTGTCTTGCGATGTACAACTTGTCATGTACTGTAGACAGCAGCACCTCGTGGCGTCGATGCCGGTCTTTGAGAAAGCCCGAGCGGTTCGTATTTGCAACAATTTCAATCGCTTTATGGTACCGCTACAATTAGGCAGTCCTCCAAGAGGTCGAGGCCATCGTTGTCCCACCGCGGGAAGTGTCCGAGACGACGACGTGCAGCAAGGAGCCCCCCATCATTGCTTCGGTATGCGTTTCCACGCCACTTGGGTGCCTCACGTTGGAGTCTACTAGCTGCAGACTGAAGCGCCTCTCAGCGTATGTCACGGCTTGTCTTTGACGACATTAAGAACGAAACGTCATCGCCGAGTGTAGAAGGAGGCTCAATTCCTACAAGCCGTGCGTGTCGGCGACGTGGACACGGTGCGCGCCTTCCTTGCGAGTGGCGTCCACCCCGATAGCTCGTACGAGGTACGACGTCATTGTTGTTGTGGGTGCTGGACAAATGTGCTAGTCGCGCGAGACTGCACTCTCATTCGCAGTGTCTCGTGGCCACCTCGAGATGGTGAATTTGCTACTTGCATACAATGCAAATGTCAACGTTGCGGCGACGGTACACGCGTCATCGTTATACGTTACCATCCAGGCGTACGGTAGAACGGCTTGACGCCACTGCACGAAGCAGCTCCATACAGCACGGTCGTGATGCTTCAAAAGCTCCTCGGCGTCCCCAACATCCACCTCAACCCGCGCGATATCGTACGCAGCGCTGCGCTTCCTTGTCTCATCGGCATTGGCGTAGAAACAACGCACGCCTCTGCATTATGCGCTGCATTTTGCGCTGGATAACCTTCCGGCAAACGTCACCGCGCTCGTGTGCGCTGGCGCCGACCTGGAAGCGGCCGACGACGTAGGTCAACACAAAGGAAAGATGCAACTTCTATGAAATCATAGGAGCTCAATCGGCCGCTGCACTACGCTGCGATGCTCGGCAACCTGGCCATGACCACGCTCCTTCTTCAGCACAACGCGCGAATCAACGAGCGCAACAAGGTGCAGGCGAGTCCTGTGCGCCGGTAAAGATATGTCTTTTAGGACGGCGAGACGCCTCTGTTTGCTGCGATGGTGCGCGAGCATACCAAAGTGGCGGCGCTGCTATTGAGTGAGCAAGCCAACGCCAATGTCCTCGTGGTACTCGCTCTGTCTCGTGTTGGACGTGGCCGCCATGCAAATCGACGTAGAACGGACAGAGTGTGCTCCACTGTGCCTGTGAGCGTGGTCTTGCCGACATCATCCTGCTGCTTCTCGCGAAGAAGGCCGACGTCAATGCCAAGCATGTACCACTCGACGCCAAAGACGCTCAGAAGCCACATGACGCTATGTAGAATGGATACTCGCCGCTCGCGGCAGCGGTTGTCGGCGGGCACACAGACGTCGCCGCCATCCTCCTCTTGCTGCCCCACATTGACCGCAACGAACGCCACGAGGTAGACGCTTGCCTTCGTACATGTCGTAATGCGCCGGTGGTCGCAGAGTGGCTTGACGTTGATGCACTTGGCAGTGAGCTCGGGCAACGCCGACGTTGTCCGAATTCTGCTCCAGGCTGGTTTCGACTTTGACGAAAGAGACAGCACGGTACGAAGATACGATGCCTCTTGTCGCGGGTGCGGGAGGCGATGAGTTAGATGCTTTTGCGTGCTGTCGACTTGGCCACATGCCTGCAGAACAGCGCCGTGCTCGAGGCGTTCCAACCCGTCGAGGACCATGTACGTCTCCTTCGGAAGCGACCGCTGTGAATGATGACGTGTGGTTGACCAGCGGCTGGCGTTGATGCTCGCTGTCGGCCGCCACGATGTGACGGGCTTTGCGACGCTCCTCCAAGAGCCGTACAGCTGCAACGTCTACGATGAGGTACATGCGAGCAGTGGAAGTACGCACGCATCATGTTGAGGACCAGGTCGGGTGCTCGCTGGTGCATATGGTGGTGCTTGCGAACAACGAAGCAATCCTCGACCTGCTTCTCGCCAAGCCAAACGTCCGCCTCGCGACGCCGAACCATGTAAAAATACGCTGCGTCGAGCAACCAGCCCAAGCTGGTGATGTAGCAACACAAGACGCCACTGGCGATGGCCATTGAGCGCGGCTACACGTCGATGGCCAAGAAGCTCTTCCATACCGTGCACCCCGCGGTGTATAGGGTAGGCGCCCTTCCTTCGTGCCAGCAGACAATGGATGAGTGTAGATTTCGGCCAGTGACTATACCGTGACGACGACGGAGCTGGGCGCCGGCGGGTTTGGCATCGTGTACCTAGGTTTGTTCGAGGGCCAAAAGGTCGCGATCAAGAAGGCTCGAAGTGCCAACCACATGGCGTCCATCAAGGCTGAAGTCGATGCACTCCTTGCGTACGGCTGCTGGAAGTATACAAGGGTTCTCACTTTTGGCCGCAGGTGCCCGTCGCCGTACCTCGTGCGGCTTGTCGCGATCGCAGACCTCAACTCGGTGGCGCCAACACTTCTGTTTGAGCACATGGACGGCGGCAGCCTTCGTTCGTTCCTTGACAAGAAGCGGTTGAACCAACGCACGTCGGCGCGCGTGACCAGCCTTCAAGTGGCGTGGGTCGTCGCCAACGCCTTGAGAGACCTCCATATTAGAAACATGGCGCACCGCGACATCAAGAGCGACAACGTTCTCTTGAGCTCCAGCGACGAGATCAAGCTCGGTGACATGGGGCTGGCGCGTATTGTGGCAACCGAGATGACGGAAGCACCCGGCACGCGTCTTTGGATGGCGCCCGAGATCCTTCGCGCCAGCGGCACCTCGTATGGTCTTTCCGCCGACATTTACGCGTTTGGCGTGCTTCTCACCGAGCTCGCCACGGGCCAGCTGCCGTACTTTGACCAGAACGTTCAGGACCCGATCGCATTTGTGCGCGGTGTCATCGACGGCACTCTTCGCCCGACGCTGCCGTCCGAGTGCGAGCTATGGCTGCGCACACTAGCAGACATGTGCCTGCGTGGTGACCCGGCGGATCGCCCGACAGCGGATCAGATCGTTGAGATGCTTCGAAACGAGATGGTGGCTGTTCCGACAGCGGCCATTGATGTACGCCCCTCGGTGTTTCGTCGGTCACTAAGAACGTTTGGCGCAGGCGCCGACAATGTTCCTGCGTGCGGTGGCAAGTGACGACGTCGACGTGGTGGCGCATCTCCTCCGCGACGGCCTCTCGCATGGCGCTACACTGCCGGTACGCATCATTTGGGCCCGGCGAATGCGACCGCCTGATTGTGTAGGGCGACACCTCCCTCTTGGTGGCGGCGACCAACGCGGGTGCGATCGCGACTGTGCGGCTCCTCCTGGATCGCGGCGCCAACGTCAACGCCTTGATCGTACGTACCGTCCATAAAGAGCCCAGTGACCGTGTGCGGTAGGGCGGTCAAATGCCGCTGCACGAAGCTGCGACTCGCGGCAACGTGGACATCCTCCGCCTCTTTTTGGATGCGGGGGCCCACGTCGACGCGCAAGACCACGTACGCATGCTTTGCTTACAGAATTGGCTCCAACCCATATCGCAGGAGGGCAAGACGCCATTGGCATGCGCAGTTGGTGCGGCAAGCGAGTCGTGCATCAAGCAACTTCTGGCGACGGGGAGCGACGTCTCCATTCCTAAGACGGTCTCGACACGCTCGATTGCTCGTCGCTCACAGAGGCGTATCATAGAACGGAATGACACCGCTTAAGACTGCGCAAGACGCCGACGAGATAAACGAAGTGCACCGCTTTGTGCCCTTGCTCTTGCTCGCGACGCACCGGGTACGTTTCCGAGGCAAGCGACGGACACTAAGGCTGCTGTAGGACGATGCGAACGCACCCGAGATGTTTTGCATCAACTGCGGCAGTTGGCATCTCGTCGAGGCTGACTGCAGCACGTGTGGGCATCGAGCGTCGACACACGACCGCGTCGTGGCCGTGCTGCGCCGCTTGATTCAGCTGCACCTACGCGGCCACTCGGTCAACTGGGCGCGGAAGTGCACCACCTGTCGCAAGGAGACCATGCTCATTGTCGACACCATCTGCCCCGACTGCTCGGAATCACAACCGAGAACGAATGAGGTCAAAACGATGAGCGCGCGCTTGAAGGTGGCGCTCAAGACGCGACGCGTACGACCTGTGTGTGGCTACGACAGCATTTGAAGCGTCACAACGTAGGCAACCACCGAGGAACGACCGCTTCCGTGCGGCATCCTGCGGTGGCTGACCAACTCGACAACCTCTGCCGCGCCGTCCCACGAGCCGCTGCGGTTGTACTTGCCTCGGCAAACCTGGACAGGCGGCAACCGCGACACGCCTCGGACCAAACCGTCGCCGCAGCGGACACTGGTTGGTGGTAGCGCTACGAGTCGACTCTACCAAGGTTGGCTACGTAGGGTGAGTTTTTGCCGTGGCTCCACGGAGACTGCTTCGGCAATGCCGACCTCGCCCGCGCCGCGTACGCGGCGGCGGCCGAACCCGTTTTTGAGGCACGACACTGCAACGCGCGCAATCGATGCCCACGCTTGTACTAGGTGCCCCGCGCGGACTTGCCCGAGCCTGGCGTTCCGTTCGACTTGCAGGACCGTGTGGTCACGCACCGCTATGTCGGCGACGACGATAATCTTGAGGCTATTGCAGCGTTCGTGGCAGCGTATGTCGACACGTGAGACTCACACGACCTTGTACGCGTAGTTGCCCGTCACCGTTCCTCGTGACGGTTGTGGCCACTGCGCCGCCATCGAGCATGCTTGTCGAGTACGTGGTCAGCAAAAGTCTCCGGTACCAGCTCGACGAGCCGTCGGTGCGTGCGATGTGGCCTGTCGATCCGTCAGTGAAGATGCTATGCCTCTACACGGTCGCCAACGCCCTCGTGGATCTCCACGCGCACGGCATCGTCCATGGCCACCTCTCGAGCTACGATGTGATTTGGAGCTCCACCGAAATGTACCAAGTCGACGTCCCCGGCATCGTTGGCCTCGACGAAGCGCGGCTTGCGTGGGTGGCGCCCGAGGTGCTTGCAGGCGACTCGCCACCGTCATTGGCGTCCGACATGTATGCCTTTGGCGTCGTCATGACCGAGATTGACACGTTCGAGTTGCCCTTTGAAGACGATGGTTTGGACGACCGTGTCGCTTTAACGACGGCCGTTGTTGACGGCGGCCTGCGTCCAACACTACGCGACGAATGCGACGACTGGTACCGCACACTCGTCGATCGCTGCTTGGCCGCCGATCCGGTGGCGCGCCCGACGGCATCGGACGTCGCCAACTTTTTGCAAGCGTTCATCCATGATATCGTGACAAATTGATCGCGACAAAGTGCCCACAAATCTCCATTTAACTCAGTTTGATGTCTGATATGCATTCGTCATGTTTTGCTCCCTGGGGGGTGGGAGCAAGGGTTTACTAAGCTTGCTCTATGTGACGGTCCTCGCATTATATAAAACGTGCTGATCGAAGAGATAAACCACGGGACGTTGCAGAGATGCGGTCGTCTCTGTACCAAAGCGCCTCGTGTCGAGCTCTGAGCTTTCAACGAGCCAAAAACGAACGCTTAATGGCGGCAGCTGAGACGCTAGAAGCAGCTCCGATGCCAGTTTTGAGAGAGCGTGTATTCGAGCGATTATAACCGGACCTATTCTAATGCGAACCTACCCACTAGGAACGAGTGTTTTATTTACGTCGCGACTTGGCCGCTCCACTCGGTGCGGCTACGCAACGATGACGCATCCTTGTCACAGACTCGCACGTACCTCCTATGGACTTTGTCGGATTCTTATTTGCCTTGGTGCTCGGGTTGTTGGCCGCTTTCATCGACGACACTTTGTACGAAGCAATGCTGCCGCCAGCGTTGGCCAAATTGTTGAGTGCTGCTTGGGGCGCTGGTTTTCGGGCCTTGGTCGTCTCGGCCACATTCGTCGATCGGTAAATATTCTTCTTCTTGCTCGCGTCCGGCAAGACGACGCCCTTGGTGCCTTTTGCAGCGTTTGGCAGCAGCATCGAGGCATTGATGGGCGGCAGCTCGTTGATCTACTCGCACGTTGCGTCATCATATGCAAGGTGGACGCAAATTTCACCTCGTATGCCGTCGACTCCTTCTCCGATGCACCGTCCATTGAATATTCATTGTCCTCGTGGGGCTTTGCCAGCATCGGCAGTGGCCGCACTTTGTCGCCGTCGTCCTACAACATACAATCCTAACATCGTAGTTGGCTCCACTTCCTTGCGTACTTTGGCGCCTTTGGCGCGGTGTTTTGCGGGCGGCGGGTTGGCCGCCGGGACGCTCGGCTGCTTCCTACCATCGTATCGTTTTAGTACGATGGACAATATTGTCTATAGAAAACATATGGAGACGTACGGCAGTTGGTCTTGGGCCGCCGCGAGTGCCGCTTCTTCGATTTCGCGCATTTCGCGAAAGTACTCGTGCCGAAGGGCTTCGCGCGCGTTCGTGCGCTTGCTCGGGTCGTACACCAGCATCTTGCACATGAGATCGACCGCTTCCGGCGACGCGTGCGGAATGAGCTTGGCTACCACGTTGCCACGTCATTGAAAATTTGAAACAAAATGAAAAATGTAAAAATGTACAGAACACATCGACAAAAATGTAAAAATGTACAGAAAATGTACAATAATGTACCAATGCTCGTGCCGTCGTCATGAGCAAAGTTAAAGTCGATGTGCGCCGCGCCCTTGCGCCGAAAAACGTCGAGCACATCGGGCAGCGGCGTCCCAAGGATCTTGTGGATGCGGTTGATTTGGTCGAGTTCGTTGGAGCCGGGAAAGAGCGGGTACAAGCTCGTGATTTCAAAAAAGACACACCCGACGCCCCAGAGGTCCATTTCGGGGCCATAATACCCGTCCGTGAGAAGGCACTCGGGCGCACGGTACCAGCGCGTCGAGATGTACTCGGTGTACGGTTGCTTGGAGTAAATGCCCCGGCAGCTGCCAAAGTCGGCGAGCTTGAGAAACTCGTTGTTCTCGACAAGGATATTCTCGGGCTTGATGTCGCGATGGAAGATGCCCTTGTTGTGCATATGGTCCAATGACTTGACGAGCTGGTACATGAGCGACCGAATGAGCTCCGGATTGAGGTACGTTCGTCGACCCCGGATCATCTCGTACAGGTTGGCGTCCATGAGCTCAAAGACGAGCGCAAGGCGTCCTAGAAATGGCCACGAGTCGTATCGCCCTCTCAGATCTGGTTGCTCGTACCAGACGGCTGGTCGTACAAGACTTCTTCGAGCTTGATGATGTGCGGGTGCGGCGAGAGCCGCCGTAGCGCCTGGATCTCTCGGAGATTGTTCACTTGGTCGATCGACTCGAAGTGGTTCTTCATGCACTTGATCGCATGGTACTTGGAGTCCTTGACGTTCTGCGCCTTGAGCACCTCGGAGAACGTGCCTTCGCCCTTCTTGGACACGAGCCGGTACTTGCGCATCGGCGACGACGCCCGAGGGATTGTTTGCCGACCTATTTCTGGCGGGCTCCACGCCAGAGCTGCAACCGCCTCGGCTTAAAATACTTGCGACGACCTCTAGTTGTTTGGTACTAGTCGACTAAGGGGACGTTCAATAAACTTGAAAGCAAGCACGGGCGCAAAAGCCACTTGGACTCCTCGCATCGTACAGCGCCGGCAACTAGTATGTACTATAGTATATGATTTCGCGTGTGGTTGGTGTAGACTCGACAGCCATGACGCTGACAATTGCGTAGTCGTCGATGCCTCATGTATTTGACGGTATACTCCAGTCGAGGTTTTTAGATATCGACTAGAGACGCACTTCGTTCTAGTTGAAGCCGTAGAAACCTACTCGCTATAGGCATGAACCGTTGCTAAAGGTCGTCGGGTACCGGTATAGTAAGAAGTTGAGTTGAACGAGGCCGGGCGGCTTGCCCACATGAAAAGCTCGGTGAAAAGCTCAACGATACAATGTTGTGTAGTTAGTCTACATGTACTAACTAAACACCAAAAGAGAGATTGGACAACCCGAACCACATATGTATAGTACGTGTGGTCGAATGAGATATCATACGGCCAATGTACATTACAGACTGCTAAAAGCGAGGGCTAGTTGCAAGTTGGGCGGGTGGAAGAAGCCTCGACACCATGCGTCGAACGCCGGCTCTGGCGACGCATCCCCCTCGGCAGTCGGTCCGATTTTAGCCAATCCCAGGTCGTTCCAAACCTTCTAGCGAATCGGAGATGAGAACACTTTTGGCTGCCCCAATCAGCGCGTGGTCGAAACATCGACGCAAGAGCTTCAGGCCGAGCATGGGCAACAGCAGCAGCAACGCAAGGCGCCGAGCGTCGTCTGCGCGGAGGCGCGCCGAGTCGACGCCGCATCTGCTATCGCCTGTCCCGGCCACCGAGCCGCCAACGCGCGACCGCCCAACGTCGCAGCGCCGCTCGCTGACCGACCTTCCGGCCACGCAAGGTGGCATTGAGCGAGGCCAGGAGGCGGTCGAGGACGCGACCGACCAGCTCGGGTACTGGTCGCTATTGCGCCACGGCTACGAGAACTTGGTGAACCTCATCATCCGGCCGCCGCGTGCGCAGTACGACGTCGACGAGCTCGGGCCCGTCGAGTTTTCGCTGGCGTCGACGCGCTTCCGCCGCACCGACTTTAGCGTGCCCGTGTCGCGCCAAGGGCAGAGTATGCAGATGCAGTGTTCACACTGGGCGCCGTCAACGCCGACGCTGGCGACGATGCCATGCGTCATCTATCTCCACGGCAACTCGTCGTGCCGGCTCGAAGCGCTCTCGGTGCTGCGCTGCGTGCTTGCAAGCGGCGCGACGCTCGTGACGCTCGACTGTATTGGCTGCGGCCAGTCGGACGGCGAGTACATTTCACTCGGCTACTACGAACGCGGTACGATTAGTCATCCTCCTCTTCGTCACCATCTCTCACATGAACACGACTGCGATCTTTAGACGACGTGCAGACGCTGGTCGAACACCTGCGCGGGACGGGCCACGTGTCATCGATCGCGCTCTGGGGCCGGAGCATGGGCGCCGTTACCGCGCTTTTGCATGCCGACCGGGACCCGTCGATCGCTGGCGTCATCATCGACAGTGCGTTTGCCAACCTTGAGCAGCTCGTACGATCGCGCCAATCCAAGCGGGCCAGCTTACAGTGACGCGCGTAGGTCATGGAGATCGTCGAGCACGGCCGGCGCGAGGGCTACACGATCCCCAACATGGTCGTCAAGGTCGCGCTCAAGTTCATCCGGTCGTCCGTGCACAAGCGCGCGCGCTTTGAGCTCCGCGACCTCTCGCCCATCGACCACGTGGACAAGTCGTTCATTCCAGCGCTCTTTGTCGGTACGTCGACCATCTCATTTTCAGAACGAACCTCATGTTCGCGCATGACTTCAGCGGCCCACAAGGATGTGTTTATCCAGCCCCACCACAGCGAACAGCTCTTTGAAAAGGTACGCACGCCTTTTCGACACTAGTTGGACGCAACTATGTATCTCAAAATGGTCTAGTATGCTGGGGACAAGAACCTCATCAAGGTCCACGGCGACCACAACAGCTCGCGGCCACAGTACCTCCTCGACTCGATCAGCATCTTCCTTCAGAGTGTCATGTGCATCGACGAAGCGCAGACGCTGCATGATCCATTCACAGGCAGCGGCATGCCGTGGCACCAAGACGCCATGGTACGCTCAACGCCGCCCTAGCATTGTCAGCGCAGTAATGTGGGAGTAGATCCAGCGGGTACTACAAGCGTCCTTGGCCGGCGACGCTTCGGACGACGACGACGACACTGGCGACGGACCCAACTGGGCGTGCTCGGCCTGCACCTTTCTCAACGTCGCCAAGCGAAAGCATGTATGTTGACGTCTCTTCTACTACTCCTCGTATTGATTAAGGAGTGGCTTGTAGTGTACCATGTGTGGGGCCCGCGCCAACCGCGCCGACGTCCATCTCGACGACGTCGTGGTGGATGCAACTGCCTTGCCCGTGGCCGCCGTCGAGAGCTAATGCATCATGTTGTATATATATCGCATTGCTCACTTGTCCTATTCGTTTTAAACGCAATGTCCTGTACCTTATGGCGCATGCGACCGACGCGCCAGGGGACGGCAAGCATTCTAGTTAGTTAGTCGATTCAACCTCACATGTAACAGTATTTATTGTTAAAGTACATTATTTAATGATAATATCCGGAACTTGACCGGATGTGGCGGTGGTCGCCATGCACTTCCCACCCAAACAGGATGCTGGTCAACCGCGTGGTCCGCCGGGCGGCGCGCCGGTGTCTGAGCACCAAGCCGACGACGACGACGACGACTGCAACGACGCCGACGGTGCCCAAGCCCATCACGAACGATACCATGGGCGACACGGCGACAACGCGTCTCTTCGGTTCCGACTGGGCCGACCGGCGCGGGCAGCGCGTCTCGTTCACGATGAAGGTCTACTGGTCCATCTTTGGCCTCTTCATCTTGAACGGCGCCGTGACGCAGATGACAGGGCGCGACGGTACGACCGACTCTATGGTCAGGCGCCTCATGCTGTGGTGTCTAGAGTTTCACTATTACGATTTGGTCAAGTCGACGCTCCGGAATGCTGCATTTGGCAAGCCCGCGGCTACAGAGCACGACATGATTGCAGCCGAAGAAGGCGCCGAGCCTACCGAGGGTGCGGCCGACGTCCCTGCACCGGTCGACGTCCCTGCACCGACCGCACCGCCAGCTAGCGCACCGGTTGTTGCCGTGGTGGCACCGGTGGCCAAGCCGTTGCCGACATCAACGACGTCGGTGCTCTCGTCGTCGGGGTCGGCGCCGATGGGGATGCCCATGGGCGTCATTCCGTCCTTGCAACGGGCAGCGCCCGCGGTCGTCGTGGCGCCCACCGTCGCCGGCGTCCAGTGGCAAGAGGAGCTGGACAACCTCCGCGCGTACGAAGCGACGCTGCGAGCCAAGAACGCCCGCAATTTGCGCGCGATTGCGGCCGAGCTCCAAGAGATTGCGATGCTCAAGGGCGAGATCAAGAAGCGACTCCGCTCGACCTAGTCGTTCAGTGAATAGAATGCATCCCACTGTCTTGAGCTCCCTTTTCCGAGTCGTGGGAGTCGGAGATTCGACGAATGTGACGATGCCTAGTAGCTTGAGCTGCAACTCGGGCTACTCGTAGACACTTTATGGCGCCAGCTCCGTCTCTGGGTTCGCTATCGACCACAGTGCATTGAGTGGTGGTGATTGAATTGTAGTTGGCTTCCATGACCAGATTTGGCTGCTGCCAGAACTTTGGGGTGATCGTCGATCCTCCTACATTGTACGCGCCAGAAGTAGCCACGATGATTCATTGACCGCCGTGCACCTTGCCGGATCTGACCACTGGCCGCGGTGACGCGTCCAGCCAGGATTTGCGAGTACAGTGTACTCGCGCGCCACTTAAGGCAGTTGCTTCGATGCCATTCACGCGACCGGTGGCAATGGCCATCATGAGCCACCGCCGTTCCGCAACTGCGCCGGCCGTGTCCAGGTGGCACAGAGCGTGCCCGCTGTTGACCTCTGTTGAACGCAGTTGAGCGCCGTAGTAGGTGGCGTCGACTGTCCAAGAAGATACCAACAAGTAGTCTTTGCCCTTTCTGTAGCAATCATCGTCGTGTCGATCGTATGCACAATGCGCGCCGATGGGCGCCCGCGTCAGGGCTACTTCGCGCACGGCTACTGCGACGAGCCATGGCGTCGGCGCAACCGTCGCCGTCTAAAACGGTGGCGTACGGTGGGATTTCGACTTGCAACCGACGGTTGGATGCATCGCGCTCGACAGTTCGCGACGACGATCGGCAGCCGCCGGGCGCTGGCAACGACGCCGACGACGCGCACCGGCCCGTCGCAGACGACGACCGCATCGCTCGCTGCGGTTGCCGCCGGCCTCGTCGCAGCAAGCATCGTCGTGATCGAGACGTCGACGCTTGCGCAACCGCCAAACATCTCGCCACTCGCCTCTGTTCATGACGACAAACCACCGGCTCCAGTACTATTGGTGCACGAGGCACCCAGGGACGCGGGTAACGTGCAACCCTCGTCGTCGTCGTTGGACGCACCCATCCACTTGGCGCTCGCCGCGCCAGGCACCGCCGTACCATCGCTGCCCGCCTTGAACTCGACGTCGTCCTCGGTGGATGTCGACCACTGGCAGCAAGAGCTCGCGGGGCTGCGCGCCCTCGAGGCCCAAGTTCGCATCGACTACGCCGACAAGGCGGCGCGGATGGCAGAGCTGGAGCGCATTGCGGCTGCAAAAGCAGCAATCAAGCGCCGCCTACGCGGCCACAGTGCACCTTGACGACGAGATCGCGACAAGGCGCCAATTTCCAGTGCCTCAGTAGTGGTGCTCGGCACCATTGAATGCACGTCTCCTCCTTCTCATACTAGTTAGTACTGTGGTCCTCGTCTGCTGTGTCACGACCGTCGTTGCGTTGCTTTCTCAGATCACCTCAAGGATCTTTGCATGTGGGACACACGTGGCTACTCGAGTGGCGCGGGCCGCGCTCTTCTCTGTAGCCGCACGCCTTTGCACCAACGTCGGCGTTATCGGGCTCGGCTGCGCACGGCATGCAGCGCACTTGCGGGCGGTGCGGCCACCGACCTGGCTCGGTGCTATAGCTCCAGACACAGCAATGCGACGACAAGAATATGAGATGGAAAGGGTGTATAAGTTAATACGGCACGATAGTAATAACAGAAAGGAGAGGTCTAGGTGCAGAGCTTGTTGGCGCGAAGGCGGTCCGAGTGGCTAAACTCCGAGTTGGTTTTGCAATCGATTGAGCAAAAGCCACGGACCGGCGCCAAGCTCGCGAGGTACCCGCGCGTGCAGTTGAGGCACTTGTCCGTCTCGGCGTACAGCGGCGTCTCGTAGAACGACGACCGGCGCTCGGACGCGAGGCGGTGGTTGTCGTCGTTGATGACGTAGAACGCGCACGACGACGGGCCGTCGCCGATGGCCTTCTCCGACACGAGGCCCTCGAGCACGAGCCGGTGGAAGAGCTGGACACCCATGAGGCGCGACTTGACGACGCCGTTGTCGACGAGCCAGTTGACGGCCTCCGACTTGACAAAATATTCGTACGAGAGGCGCGACTGCTTGGAAAGCGAGTGCGCAGCGATCTCTTGGTAGGCAGCCTCCATCTCGTCGTCCTCGAAGTCGATTTCCGCGTCCGAGACTGGGCTCGACGTCGACGTTGACGAGTCCATGCTGCTCATATGGCGCAGCGCGGTCGGATTGCACTCGACGCAGACGCGGACGGGTTGGAGGTACCCGAGGGCCGGCAGCGGCGTAAAGTGCGGGCTGCAGTCGGCGCACACGAGGTGGCCGCAGGCGCGGCAGTGATGGCGCCGGCGAAACCACGTGGTAAAGGCGTGCTGGCACCGGTGGCAGGCGTCCGAGGCGTCGTCCGGCTGCCACGGCGCGGCCTTTGTGATATCGAGCGGCAGGCTGCCCATGGGCAAGACGTCAACAACCACACCCATCCGGCTCGACTTGGCGATTTGGAAACTGAAGGCGAGACATTAAGCCGAGTGAATACCAGCTGGCACGTGTACCGTAGAGCGGGATGCTGTCTCGGAAAGGCCCATACTTGGCGCGATGCAATCGACCTACCCTCTCCCACTCCTCCGGGTACCAAAATGCAATGTCGCACTGCAACTCGATCTTTCGAAGGCCCTGGTTACACTTGCGTTTTGTATGCCAGTGGTTGAAGGCATGTGAGCGTGTATAGTGCCGATTTTGAGACACTGTTTCTATTTAAAATATATTGTGAGTTCGGCAAGGCACAAAGGTATAGATATATCATGTAAAAAAGATGCATTTGTAAGGCTGGGATGGGCAATCGAACTCGGGTGGCGCCAGCATACAAACGGCAAGATCAAACTCACCCAGAATAGAAAGGGCGACCGTCTGAGTTGCGCACTCACGTGTCAAGTTGTTGAAGCCATCGACAGGTGGTCCCACGCTGATTTAGATGATTTTGGGCGCGCAAATTAGAACTGCATTTCGAACTCAGAACCGCCATGGGTCCATAGCGACATAACAAGGACAGCGAGGGTCGTTCTTGACGGCTCGTACAAATCCCATGTCGGCATTTGTGGGCTTGGACGACGAAAGCAAATGCAAGTGGTCTCGTCATATTCGAGTCCCCAACGCTCGCTATTTGATGTGCCTCTCTCCACGAAGCAATTTGACGACAGAAGCGTACGACATGTACCCGACATGGAAGCCGAAATGGACGGCTAGAAGGGTGTTACGTCCTGGGCTTTGCGTCTGAGTCGAGCCATTGATCGGTCTGAGAACGTGTTGGTGCACCATGGAGTGGGTCGACGAGACAGACACGGCTGTGTAGTCCATTAGGTGATTGTGGTTGACGCCTTATGCAGCTCTTTGGACACGCATGCGTGTTGCTTCGCACAACATACTCAGATGGACTATGGACGCCATCTGAGTCAGAAAGGACATAAACGAGCCGGCAAAGCACGCGAAAGAAAGGCCATGTACTACGTCCATCGCTACGACATGATCGCAGTGTCGTCTTGATGGGCGTCCACCGACGTCTGGATCGCGTCCAAGCGGGCGAGTAACGCGTCGAGGTCGTCGGCGTAGGTCTATGCCTCAATCTTGACTTTCATAGGCCAGAGGAGGCTGTATTACCTGCACGCCGCACTCGAGCTCGAGCAAGTTGGCTAGCGCCGTCGTACAGGTTGCCTTTTTCATCATGATAAGTTTATAGTACCTTCAAAGGCCGCTTCTTCGGGGTCGTTGTTGAGCGACTCGCGCCACTGCCGCGAGAGGTCGCGTACGTGCAGCTGAAACACCTCGTCACGGAGTTTCTGGAGCTTGGAGACGTTGCTCGAGTTTTGCAAAAGCGATTGCACTTTGGCTTCGTCCGCCGGCGGCAATCCCGGTGTTGGCGCCGACGCTTGGAGCTGCCATTTGTCGACAGTCGCCCACCGCGCCTTGGCTTTCTGCACGCAACATGTTAGCAAAGCCCTTGGGACAGTATGAAAATGCACCATATAGAGATTGTGGAGCTCAGCGTCCGTGGCGTCATTGTCGCCGTCCGTGTCGTTGGTCACCGGAGATGCCTCCTGGGGTCGTCGCCGTCATGTCATCAACAATTCGTTCAGTTACCTCGACGACGGCGAGAAGCTGCAAAGAGACCTTTTTGGCATGCTCCGAGCGCCAGCTCTGCAGGTCCCCCAGCACCTTGTCCATCTAATACACATGTTATAACGTGCCATACCGATGACTACCAAAGTGGCCGGTACCTCGTCAATGGTGATGGTGATGGACGTCGGGTCGTCGCCAAGAAGCACATGCGAATCGAGCGAGCTCGTTTCCGGGCCATGTAGCTCCGAGGTCGACTGCTGATTGTTATTGTTGTTGTTGTTGTTGAGAATACGTGACGGCGCGGGAGGCTGCTCGTCCCGCAAGGGCGGTAGTCGCGCAGGATGGCGCTTTTGCTTCTTGAGCGCGGCGGCCTTGAGTAGTGCACGTTGCGGCCCGTCTTCGAACCGGACATCCGCGGCCGACGGGCTCGCTCGCACTAAAATGTCGCGGTGTGTTGGCGGCGGCTTGGACGACATCGTCGTCGGCGGAAGGCGAGGCCCCGTCGTCGCCTCCTTGGTCGTTTTCCGACCCGTCTCGGTCGACTTGAAGATCAGCTACGCGAGATGCTGCAGCATAACGATGCGCTCCTGTCGACGTACCTGGATGATCTTGCGGCCATTGTGCTGGTACGTCTCCATCCGTGTATTTTCGTGGGCGTTTCGAGTAAAAGCACCTCGGGGGTTTTCATGACGTGGCAGTCGGAGACGCAAGCTGAAGTGCACCTAGGTGTGTCGAACAGATTCAGCACGTGCTGGGCGAGCACTCGATTTCTTCACCTTCTTCTTCTCGCGCCTCCGACCAGAGAACATGCACCGATGCTCCCTTTGCTGCAACTGCGTGCGTTCAGCGTACCTCCCTTCGAGATTTGGTCGACGACGTTCAAGCAGCTGCAACACGTTCAGCGTGTCTGTACGGTATAGCTGGCCTACTATGTATATGATAAAATACAATCAATTGCTAATAACCTTCAACTAGTAACTCATTCCTGGGCAAGCTTGGATGAACCCGCCCCGTAACAACATATTTGTCGTGCGCCCACACGAACATTCAGCTAAAATGCTGTGGACGACGCAAGACTTCCATTGGCCACCACTTGATACGCAAAAGGGTTCGAATTGGAACGCTGCGTACCCAAACGGCATGCGCCAGCGTCCAGAGTCTGGCGCCAGCGGTCTCTGCTTGCACCATGCGACGTACCAGAACAAAGACCAGACCACCACCACAATCACATGCGAGACTTCAGATTTGGATGCGTTGCCGGGCCGCGCGCCCCGTTGGACGTACGAGGGTCGCAACACCCCCTTCTCGCCAATGTACTCACAGCACAAGCAGGGCGTCTTCCTGGGACAGACCGCCTCCACGCATCATCCCACGCTTGGCCCCTTCGTTTTCAACGCCACCTCCCGTTTTGCGTGCCAGTGAGCGCCGCCCACCGGTATGACGTGTCAAGCGCGGTGTCGAACTCGGTGTGTCTCGTAGTGGCGCCATCTCCACGACCGCCACCAGGCACTAGTACCTGCCATAACACGCCCATTAGCCCCACGTCAAAGCGCGCAATGCGAACCGCATCCAGAGCTCCTTGTTAGAGAGTTGCTCCGGCACCATCACCGTGCGGAGGTCCAAGATGTGTCGTTCAGGATCGCCGCGACTTCCTCCGTCTTGTCGTCAACGTCAATGACCACCAGAAAGGCCTTGTAGTCGTCCAGCTTCTCAAAGATGCTCTTCGAAGGCGGGGTCATGGGCCACGCCATGGAAAGGACATGGACCTCGTCGACGGATTCTCTTGCTGGAGGCTCATCGAGTTGAGGAGCGTCTGCGCCTCATCTTGGACCTGCGCGACGATGATGGAGGCCTTCTCCTGCACTTGAACGACGCGCTCCTTGGCGGCCTGGTTGGCAGCCTCATAGAGCCACATGCTGCTGCGCCTCTGCGGCTTGTCAAGCTCGACCTCCACGCGTATCCGGACGAATGCCCACCTCTCTGGAGTGTCTCTGATCTGGTCGGTGTCAACCTTGCGACGAACTCTACTTTGATGGGCGATCTGCCGGAATGCTTCGATGAGGTCGAGAGAGGAGCGTGTTGTGGGTGTTAGAACTAATGTGTACATAATGTCTTGTCATAATGAGCCTTCTTGTGGCTGAACACTGCAACTACACTAGTGCCGATGACATTGGTGACCACTACAAACCACAAGCTTGTTGGTCTGCTACGCCAGTCGAGACCGCTACAG